TCAGCACTTTTATTTCACTAAAGATTTCCTTTTAATATGCATGTTCCTAATGCTTCCAATTTTCCCCAAATCATTATGTGTATAGGCTTCTCTAACACAGCAAAGCTAAGCCAATCAGAATTTAGAGAGTTCCAACCAAAGTATTCCTAAATATTCCTCAGCAGCTCGGTCAGAGTGATATAGCGGCTGTAAATATTACAGCTCCAGACACTACAACCGTCATTGACTGACTGTATCAGAAGAACTTGGCCTGCAGTCTGACCTTTCTCTATAGTCCCTCTGTGAGATTTTGTATTTGATGTCTGACGCTCTTTGGGAAGTGGTTTGGTGTAGGGGCCCATAAAATTGCTGCCAGCCCTGCAATTTGCTAAGTCTTGCCTGCCGGCTCTGCTTGTGCAAATAGTATATAAATGGCCCCGGTAAGTTCCTCATATAGGGATCCGTGGTGGCTGATGACATTCTTGGAAACGAGGGCACAAGGAAGCCAATTCTCATTTTCTAGAAGCCGTTCTATCGCTAAAATAAAAAACTTGTGTTCAAAATACAGCACCGCCTGCAAAGAAGACCTGCAATACTCCTCTCTCCTGCTCCTTGTACTGGAGAGAAACAGCCGCTTGAAGATTCTGCAGAACCAGACACTGCCTTTGTGGTTCCTCCCACCAACTCCTACAAGAATGAATGACACTGTATGGACGCAAGGGTCAGCAGATAAAACCACTGAATGCAATAGGGGGGGACCAGAATTCAGACTCTATTCTGCAACGGGAGAACAATATTCAGAGGAATTTACCAAGACTGGAGCATCCGTGCATGGCAACCAATCAGCTTCTATCTTTTATTGTCAAAGCTAAACTTAAGAGAGAAGCTCATTGGTTACTATGCACAGTAGGTTCAGATTCTGTCTCCAATTTTGGTAAATTCCTCCCAAAGTGTTTGCAGACCGTACTATATTTTGAACCTGTAAGTCTGCATTTCCTTCACTCAAAGCCAGCGTAAGTCTGCATTTCCTTCACTCAAAGCCATTACATGGCGTCCTGTAACAAATACCTCAAAACGATCCTAAAGAGTCCCCTTTTGTATGTATACTTTACAAACACATTTGTGCTTTTTTTGTTTTGTTTTAATGGGGGGAGCAGGAGTGTGTTTTATACCCTGTCATTTGTTAGTGTGTATATGATCATAATGTATGTAGAATTTTAATTTGTTAATTTGTGGTTCACGTTCCTCCGCAGCAAACGACGCACTTCGGGGACCCCGGTGTTGTA